GGTTTTGGACAAAGACGACATGATCGATCGATGCAGCGGGATACAGGATGCAGCTTACCTTGGGGACGCACTTGGCGCAGTTGGAGCAACGGACGAACTTGACGTGGCCGCGTCCTTGCTTGTTGCGGCCGCCGTTGCGGCGCTTGAAGGGCTGTGGGACGGCGAGCGAGAACGGTTAGATCTGCATGGGATAGCCGCCTAAACGCAGTTGAGGTGACGACGAGGCTCAGCCGCCTAAACGCAGTTGAGGTGACGACGAGGCTCTTACCATCGCGACGGCGGCGACGACGACGCTAGGGCGGAGGCTCGAGGTCGGCTGCAGCGGCGTCTTCGAGGTCCGAAGTCTCCGGGTCCTTGTAGGGTTTGGCCCCAGCCGACCCTGGTCCTTATATAATCAACGGAGGGACCGGCCGTATGGCATCCAGGCTGTCCGTTCGTCGATCGACGGCCCAAGTTGTGAATGGGTAGCAGATTGGTCTAATCTTTTTTTTCTTTTTCTTTTTTGCATAAAAGCAGATTGGTCTAATCGAAGTTGTATTTACTGCGTTTCCGCTTTGGCACTCTTCAACCGGTTCGAAGTACTTCGAGGTACACTGACATGTGGTGGAGAGTGGGTTTCTTTCTCTCATGGAGCCCTGTTTTTGAAAAAAAATCGAAATCATAATTTAAAGTTTCATAAAAATTTATAAAAAAATACACATAAATATTGAGTTGTGTACTGTACATTTATGTAATATTTCATGATCATTTGCGATTTTCTGTGAGTTGTATAAAACCAAATAATGTCTTCTTTCTGTACTTTGAAATACAATGTATTTTATCATGAAAAATTAGGAGATGTATTATACATCCCTAGGTTTATATGTAATTTTTTTTAAAACTTGAAAAATAGATTTTTGTATTTTCTAAAAAAATCTAGGCTCCAAAAGCAATTTCCATATGTGCTGGAGAGTGGATTTCTTGCTCCCTCCGTGAAGCCCTACTTCAAAAAAAGGGAAAACATAATTTAAAGTTTCATAAAAAACTGAAAAAAAATACACATGAACATTTGAGTTTATACTATGTCTGTGCAAAGCTTCATGATCAAATATGCTTTGATTTGAGCTGTATAGAAAAGTTAGAACCATAGACTTTATAGTGAACTAGCAAAAAGGCCCGTGCGTTGCAACAGGAAAAAAAAAGGCTTCTCATGTCTCTAGCTCAATAAATTTATTTTAAAACAATAACTTATATTGAATGATACATAAGTGCTTTGAATAAACATTAGTCCAAACCATTGATTTTGTGATTAAACAGGGCATTAATTGCATGTAGATTTAATGTGTACATAGTAGTCATTTTCTAGTGATCATCATGATGCCTATGGAATTTGGGGTCCTTATGGGAAAGAAAAGTGATGGAAACCCGTGACAATATGTGTAGAAGTACTATGGAGACATCACGGACTTAAGTGTTGTTTGGTGGCACTCCAACTCCTTTCAAGCCGGTCGCGCATCATCCTAACTTCACAAAGCCAAGATCGAGAAAGTTGGCCTCCATCTCTGGTCCGGTCTCTTATCTCTAACTATAATGTTTTGCCTCATCGAATAACTTTTATGTCCGCACAGTTGATATCTCTAACTGTAAAAGTTTAATCACAAAGAAAGGCTTAAAAAGTTAATATCTCTGTCTCAATTCCCACGAGCCTCTTATTTGTTTTTAGGATAATTCCTTTTCTTCCTTATTCCTCTCTCTTTATTCCTTATTTCTCTACCCAGTATAGAAATTAGCAATTTGTTCTATACGAACTCCATGTTAAATAGCTGGATTTGGAAATACTGATTAATGGATACATAATATATACATTTACAAAACAAAGGTATTCTGTATTCACCTGAACTCCATAAAGGGTCACTCTGCAAGTTTAGTTTGGACTGACGCTGAAAGCAAAATAAAGTTTCTGAAGATAATGGCAGAAAACATCATACATTTAGTTTGTGGAATGATAATGCCGAGTTCTAGGGGCATCATTTATTTTGCTGCAGTACCCACATAATGCTGTGAAAACTCGACGATCATATGCTTCAGGCCAGACAGATGCTCTTTGCCAGACACACCACTCGACTCCTCTGAAAGGCCTTCTTCAAACTTTAGCTCAAGCACTTCAACCTTCGATAAACCGCTGGTTACAAAGGTCACTGATGGCAAGCTGAACCTTATCAAAAGCTTCTTAATACTACGAAATCCATTGCTCGAAAATGCGAATTGATTCTTATCCCCAGACGTCTGAGTAACATTACAAAATATTTCCAGTTCGCTCAAGCTTACCATTTCACTGAGCTCTTGAATGATGTTCGCCTCAGCGCTCTTCCCGATATTGCTGCACGAAAGTGTCAACAATGAATTCATCTTGGTTATCCCACTCGGCAACTTGGCGTTCCCAGCGAGTAAATACATTGACTTTTCCGGCTTGACAATGCTAGGAGGTAGCTCTTTCACCTTTGTGGATCTCACGTCCAGTGTCTCCAGGCATCTTAGCTGTCCAATCTGTTCTGGGAGCTCGCTAACATTTGTTCCCTTGAGGTTCAAGTACCTCAAAAGCAGCAATTTGTAGAGACCATCAAGGCACAATGGACCTTGACAGCCTTCGAGGTCAAGAACCTGCAGTACACTGAGGTCATTCAGACGAGGCATGTGACCAGTGTGAGAAAATACGGCGATCAAGCGAGCACGAGATACTTTTGCGCCGTCGATTTGTGCAGCAGCCTGATCCGGCTTACCACTATTCAGCAAAGATAGCCGTCGTACAGTGCCATTGCCTGGTGGACATCTTGCTGTTGAGCATGTACCAGAGCAACAAAATTGTCTTCCATGGACATGCAAATGATGAAATCGTGTATTACTGGGTGAAGAACGTAGCTCCTATGGGTGCCATCATGATTCAGCTGTGATGGTTGGATTAAGTTACTGTCAATGAGCTCACTGATGTAGTTTCTCCCTGTTTCCTCTAAGCTAGTGACATGCTGTTCACTGACGAATCCTTCTGCAACCCAACGCCTTGCCAGACGCTCTATTTCGATCCCGTGGTTCTCGGGAATTAGGTGTAATAGACACGCCTTGAGATTGGCAGGAAGACCACTGTAGCTGAGTTTGATGATCTGTTTCATCCCTGCTAGCTCTGAATTTGTCCGCCATTCCAGTCCTGACCGCTCAAATTCATCTCTTGTGTGCGCCTTGCTGGCTAATAAGCCACCCACGCTCACAATAGCAAGTGGCAAACCACCACACTTTCTCATGATTTGAGCTGAGACATTCTTCAAATGGGCAGGGCACCCACCCACACTCCCAAAAGTTCTTTGGGAAAACAAGGCTTCAGCATCGGCTTCATCAAGAAGACAAGTCTTGTAAACATGGGCACCTACAGCTGTTTTTGCAACAACCTCAATTCTTGTTCTAGTGATTATCCGACTCCCGAGATTGTTCTCTGGAAAACAGTGTTTCATTATCCCCCAGATTTGAACACTCCATAGATCATCAATCATAACAAGATACCTATTTGATGACAAGAGGGAAATGAGTCAGAGCGTATACATGTATCATTTATCTCAACCAAGAGGGAGCGGGACTGAGTTTTATCGAAGATATGTGTAGCAAGTGGCACAGAAAGACAGTGTACTGAAGACAATTTTTCAGTATAAATGATGGTCGAGGATATGTGTAGCAAGTGACACACAATATGGCACAGAAAGACAGTGTACTGAAGACAAATTTTCAGTATAAATGATGGTCGACAGAATAACAGGCTTGTTGAGCAAAATAAAATTTTCAGAATAAATGATGGAACTAACTGTTTTGGTTAAAACTCTTGTCAGTAACAATTGAAATGGATTGATGGAATTAGCAAATAGAGTACCTCTTATATTGCATATGCTGCCTCAGCCTCCCAATCGATTGAGCCACATCACCTCCTCCTCTGCTGTACTCGTTGTCCACTTGGGATAGCATATCGCCGATCACCTTGGCGACGTCCTAGCTCCGCCCGACTGAAACTGACGCGCGACACTTGAACCCCGTGTTGAGCAACCTATATACACCTCCCTAGCAAGCGTCGTCTTCCCGGAGCCGGCCATCCCGACGATGAACACGACCTTGAGGCCGTCCGAGCCCGCTCTGGTCACCATCCCCGCCACCTCGTCCCGCGGCCCGTCCGATCCCGCTCTGGTCACCATCCCCGCCACCCCGTCCCGCGGCCCGTCCATGCCGCAGGCCGGCACTGTCGGCGTAGAGCGCGAAGAGCCGGGGGTCGACGGCGGGCGCGTGATGAGACGACATCTGCGGGCCGAGACTGTGGCGCTTCCGCAGCTTGCTCACCTCGACGACGCGCGCTCGGAGCTCCTTCAGCTCGGTGGCGAAGATGTGGCGGTTGGGGATGGTGGTGAGCCGGCGGATCCAGCGGGAGAACCGGTGGGAGGTGCCGGCGTCAGCGTTGTTGGTGCCGGCGCCGGCGTTGTTGGTGCCGGCGTCGACGCGGTGGGCGAAGAGGTCGACCCATTCCTCGATGTCGTAGGCGATGTCGCGGACCTGGGCGATCCAGCTGGTGGCCTGGACGTCGGGCTCCTCGAGGGCTTCACAGCGGAGGACGACGGCGTGCATGGTGCTCAGCTCGGCCTGGAAGAAGGTGACGTCCCCGCGGGCACAGGAGAGAGGCTCGTAATCCTGCTGCAGCAGCTCGCCCAGCTTGCCTGGCAGCGCCTCCACCATGTCCGACAGCGCGCCCACCGCATTCTCCATCTCGCCGGCCGGTTGAGAACAACCTTCTCTAGCTCTCTGGATCTGGATTTGTGGGTGTCGCCAGCGACCCCCGCCTCACGGCCAACCTCCGTATTCGCCTCCCAGCCCCTCCCGCGCACGAATCTAGCCCCTGCAAGCTCTAATCGCCGCCGCCGCCGTTCTGCATCGAGCCGCCGCGACAGCGCCGCTCGAGCCGCCGTGTGCTCACGTTGACCTGGTCCTCGGACATATGGACATATGGATCGCGGGTTGAATATATCAAACTACAGGGTCTTTTTTGCAAAATCGAAACGTTTTCTCTGGGTGCCACTAAAACAACGACTGCGGGTTGATTTTCTATAAACTTAGGGGCCTTTTTGCAAAACAACCACGACGGACAACCATTCTCTATTTGGCGCCTTTGGCGCCAAATAAGGGCCCTCCCTAGCGAGCGCACATGGGCTGAAGGGTCAATCAATGATGCCACCGCCCATGTAGGGGTTCCTCTTTGCACCGGTTTTATCGAACATTTTGAATTTCATGAACATTTTTCTTTGCTTTGTTTTTTTTGCCGGTTTTCTCTTTGTTTCTATTTTTATTTTTCATTTTTATTTTCTGTTTTCAATATCAAATCATGAATAAAGTTTTTGAATCCGCAAAGAATTTCCAAATTCATGATATTTTCCAAATTAGCAAATATTTTGAATTTTGTGAACATTTTTAGAAAATCCTATACCATATTTTCAAATTCATGAAGATCTTTTAAAATTCATAAAAAACACAAGTTTTTCTAAATTCATGATTATTTTTAAATTCATGGGTAAAATCAAATCTGATACCTTTTTTCAAATCATGATATTTAAAAATACCATTAACTTTTTAAAAATCCATCAACTTTTTTTTCAAATTCATTAACTTGCATGCAAACCTCTAGAAGAGGCAAAGGCCATTTCATGTGCTCCCATGGAATCAATAATCTTGCTTCGAAAAATCTACAACTCAATTATGTGCCCTGGAAGATTATCATTGGACTTGGTCGTTAGGGTGGTGCGTTGACGGCGAAGATCCGGTTGTTGTGCACAGCTGTTCATCTGCGTCAGATATGGAGGTACATGACTCTTTCATCTCTAGTCTCTCTCGCGTTGCTCTCGGTTGCTTACGACCCTCGGTCATCGGCTCTGATGAAGGGGGTGCTGGTGGAGCTGGCAAGGGACAGGAGAAACCCTCGGTTCGTCCGGCCTGATGGTGGCGAGGCCCAAGGGTGTCATTCCCCTCCTCGGGGTCGCTACCAAGATCCCCTCTCTCTACCTGACCTCTATCTCGGGTGAAAATCCAAAATATGACTCGAATTGGGTAACGGCTGCATCGTGTGTCGTACCTCCTTGGAGGCGTCGCTTGGGGGAAATGGGTTCTCGGGGGAGCGATGGTGCAAGCGATGGCCCTTGGTAGCTTGGAGTGGCTTTCTTTGAATGATAAAAAACAGTGGGGGCGACATGGGAGAAAGGTCGGCTGATTATCAGTTGACGGCATATCATAGAAGTACCACTTCAAACGGGTAAACCATAAACTAGAATTGTTCATGGTCCCAAAATAACAAGTGTGCCACCACAAACATCTCCCAACCATATGGCAAGATTCGGCAACAACAGAAGTTACAAGACACTCTCACACACCACTCAATGCATGTACTTCTAAAGCACCCTTAAATAAAATCACCCTGCGATGTTTTCACAATGCAAGGCTACACTAACAATGATCGAAATGCTCAACTCCACAACAATAATAACTTATTTATGTCTACTACTTGTCCTACTAGTATGAGAGAAGGGGAGGCCTAAGCGGGTGCTGATCAGCAGCAGCCTCGGAATAGCCGAAGGCCTCTTCTTTACTATAACGAAGAGGTTTCCTTCATCTCTTGCAAGGTCCAAACGTCCAAACCAATGCAAGGAATCCGTCCATCGACGAGAGAACTCGTCCAGCTCGCTAGAACTGGGCTCCTTCGAAGGTCTGGCCGAAGGACCAGCCGGCGGGGGCGGCGTTGTTGCTGGTGACGGTGCGGCCGTCGCTGAGGGTGGCCCGGAAGGAGAGGCTCTGGCCGTCGAGGTCCGCGTTGCTCTGCCAGTTCTGGCCCCAGTTGCGGGCCATGGCCTGCCACCCGGTGCTGGACCCCTTGATGGCCACGGACTGCACGTCGCCGGCGCCGGCCACGTTGGTCACCAGCACCAGGTTGAAGTAAGAGTGGCCGTTGATGGTGAACCTCATCCCACCCTTCTTCACACACGGCACCCTGCACCACAACCAGGGAAACGGAAATCTTCAGTTCAGTGATTGGATCATGCAACTTGGAACAACACATCATGGAGGTCAAGTGAGCGTGACGCCTAAACTATTTCGAAACAGCACCGAGAGTCGCTGTCAGACCAAACTACACCAAATCTGCACTCTGGCCCACCTAACATGGTCCATCGACACCGACACGGGACCAGATTAAGGAAGTTTGTGCACGCGAGAAGGTTTGTAACTGGCTGCCTCACCTCCTGTAGGCGACGGCCACGATGCCGGCGCGGTAGATTCCGATCTGGAGGTAGGCCGGCTCGGCCATGTCGAAGTGGGCGCGCGGCGGGTTGCACCAGCCGCCGTCGTCGTTGGGCAGCGCGTAGTTGGGCGGGCACAGGTTGGTGGCGGTGATGGTGATGCTGCCCGGCAGGCAGGAGCTGCTCACGTCCTGGCACTTGAGCTCGTAGCACGACCCGCACGCCGCGCCGTCGTTGAACAGCGCCGTGCTCAGCGCCGCCGTGTTCGTGCCGTACCCCGTGCTGTACAGGTTCCCGTAGCCGCACGCGCCGCCTGCAGGGCACTTCAGTTAGCCACTGTACTACACTCATGTCGGGAACCACCCACATACAATACAGGTAGATAGGCAGGTGCTTTTTTTTCACTTCAACAGTGTAATACTCCTGATGAACTCACCCATTGTGCCGGACGCGTCGCCGCCGCCATAGAAGGTGGCGTGGGCGCTCTGCCACGAGCCGTAGTCGCCGGCGGCCCGCCGGGCGAGGAGGCAGAAGGCGGCCGAGAAGAGCAAGAGCAGAGCATTGGCGGAGGCCATTGCAAAGAGAGCGCGAAGCTAGCTCCTGTGTCTTTCTAGCTCGGTTGTTTGGCTCAGGAACCGATGGTTGCTTGGCTGTGAAGAGTGTGGTGCTACCGGCTAGGTATTTATAGTGCTGAGGAATCGTTAATCACTTTGTGGAACGGCAGAGAAAAGGGGACAAAAGTTGAGAGAAGGAACTGCGTATCCATCCCCGGCACCGAACCACCGCCGAGCATGAGGAACCACGACGGCGGTTAGCACATTCGAATCGGGCGCACATGCTGCACACAATTAATTTCCAGATTAAGCTCGCCTGCCACATGGCTCTCACGAGCTACAGTCCATGGATTAAGCCACTGGGGAGAAGAAAATAATATACACCTTCTTGATTGCCATATAACCATAAAATAAATTAACCATGTGATCGTGTGAACCTGACGGGCGTATACCACGATTCGGTCCGGATCAAGATGCTGATAATGAATTATTGCACATCCACAAGTCTACCTGCTAATGAAGTTCACCATGAACGGGATTTACTTGACTTCTTCAGCCTATACCACCTCGGCCATGCATGTGAGTATTTGAAAATATTGGACGCCTATGAAGGCTTCACCCGTAATGCAAAACATATTATTATTTTTTATTTGAAAGGAATGCCTCGTGGCTTTTTATTGCAATAAATTGATGCTTACATCGTTAATTACAAGCGGCATAGTAAACATGGGTGGATCACCATCCTAGAAAGCTGTAGAAATGGAATCATAAGCATCCTAGCTAGACTATGGGCCACCTTATTTGCAGAGATAAATACATTCGCGGTCACTGAAGTTGAAGTCAAAGCACACTACGGTTAATGTATTTCTGAATATGCTCAATACGGTCACTGAATACGAGTTGCCGTGGTTATACGGGCACTACATCACCATAGAGCACCGTATTTTGCTCAGTTGACCAGTCAAATGGTCTAGAGCAGCGCTGACTCTATGGGTCCCACATGTCAAAAGGCTGGGGATTCGAACTTGCGACCCAGGCGAAATAAAAATCGCGCGCTAACAACCAGGGACGTCGTTGTTACTGTGCTAATAGGCCGTCGGCTGAGTATATGTACTTCATGCATTTTTTTGCTATGCGTTCTTTATTCATTTGTGCTGTGCGTATATGCTAGTGTGTGTTATGTGTAATTTTTTATTTAGATTTTTGCTATGAGTTTGTATCGTTGCATGCGTGCGGCATCTACGTGATGTCCATGGAGACAAGAACCAGCGCCATAAACGACAAGCTGGACAACGCCGACGTCTCGACGTCGTGACGCGCCTCGCCACGGCCAACCCCTTCGTCGTCCTTGAGACAATCATGTTTTTCTTGTGCTCGCTGCCTGCTGCGGTCAATGTGCTCCTACTCGACATGCTCCGCATCAAATGTGCTACTGCATGGAGTCGTGCTCGCGCGTGAGCCGCTCTTGATCACCTGCTGAATCAGCTCCTCGAAGAACCTCATCGCCTTGCCACCATGGCCCTAGCACTCGCCCTGCCTCTTGTGCATGTGGGTGCATGGTGTGCGTGCGTGCTGTGCATGCGCGTGTGTGCATGCGTCGGTGCATGCGTGTGCATGTTGGGACATTTTCACTGTTTTGACCTGTCTGCTTAAGTTTAGCATCATTTGACCCTATATTGAAAATATTTCAGGATCTGACCCATTTCAAAACGCCGTCAACTATGGCGTTTTGGTTACACGAAAGACGCCACAGCCTATGGCGTTTGACTCTGGCCCACACACAATAGCTGGCGTTGATGTGGCAAAGCTAGACGCCATAGGAGCTGGCGTTTGCCCAAGACGCCACCCTCTTGGCGTTTGGCCCAACCCCATAATTAGCAACTAAACAAATGATCAAATGGACTTGAGATATGTTTGCTAGCGTGTGCAACTGCGTACTAGAATCAAAGGTTTCGATTAATGTAACAAGCATTTTAATTATACTTTTATTTTGAATTGTGAACTGATTGATTATTTAGTGTAATTAGTAGTAATATTCTTTCACTCTAACTAATTCCATATTGTTAGTCCGTGGTTTTTTATTTTTATTTTTGTTTTCACATGTCAGCTAACTGATTATTCACTGTAATTAGTAGCAATATTTGTCCCCTACCTAATTCAGCATTGTTAGTTGGACTACAATTAACCAGACATTATTTCATAAGTTTAATTAAAACAGAAAACATAAACAAAACTACGCGTGGACCGGACGATGAGCTCGTACGCATGGCTGCCCTGGCTGGCGGAACCTCCGTCATTGTCCGGTCCGCTGCCGTTGTCATCATTGTCGGGTTCATTTCTGCAAACCGGCACCAAATCGGGTCCTCTAGTGCGGCAAGGCGAGGGCACCGCAATCCATGCCCGGTCGCCATGAACAAGAAGGAGCCCTCCCTGGCGACCGCGGACACATGCAGGTGCCTCCTCTATTACCTCAGCCGCGGAGGCGTCGACACATTGCAGCAGAGCACTGTGACAGCGTCCGACAAGGAGGCAAATCGACGGGAGTGATGCAATGCACATCTCATGGCCGCGTTCGCGACATCGAATGTCACCCTATAGTGCGTTCGGACATACCTCTACTTCGCATTGGCCTGCGCCGAGGACTAGTCCAGGCAGCGGAGGAAGCCAATCGGCTGCATCGCGACCACCAGGCGATAGCCAGTCAGGGCCGTCGTGCCCTTTCGCGGCTCATATGCACCGCCGACAACGACAGCGGATCAGAGGACGACGGAGGTGCCACCGGCCAGGGCGGCCATGTATATGAGCTCACCGTCCGGTACCTCGCATAGTTTCATTGTTGTTTTTTTATATTTAATTGAACTTATGTAATATTGCCTGGTTAATTACGAGCCAACTAACAATATTGAATTAGTTAGAGTCCAAACATTGCTACTAATTACTCCCTCCGTTTCTTTTTACTCCGCATATAAGATTTGGTCAAAGTCAAACTACACAAAGTTTGACCAAATTTACGTAAAAAGTTATGAACATCTACATTACTAAAACTATATAGTATGAAAATATGTTTCATGATGCATCTAAATATATTGATTTCATATTGTGAATGTTTATATTTTTTAATATAAAGTTAGTCAAACTCTATAATACTTGCCTTTGACCAAATCTTATATGCGGACTAAAAAGAAACGGAGGGAGTACGATGAATAATAGTTAGCTCACAGGTCAAAATAAAAATAAAAAATCCGACTGACCAACAATATGAAATCAGCTAGAACCGAACATTAGTACTAATTACATTAAATAATGAGTCAGTTCACAAGTAAAAAAACATATAATTAAATCCCTTCTTCCAACACTCAAAACCTTTGATTTTACTCCCTCTGTTCGGAATTACTTGTCGCGAAAATGGATATATCTAGACGCATTTTAGTTCTAGATACATCCATTTCCAAGACAAGTAATTCCGAACGGAGGGAATAGTACACAGTTGCACACGACTAGCAAGCACATCTCATGTCCAGTGATCATTTGTTTAGTTGCTATTTGTGCTATAGACTGGGCTAGGCCAAACGCCAAAAGCAGTGGCGTTTTCGGCAAACCCCATCCCATGTGGCGTCTCACTTTGCCACGTCGGCGCCAGCTGGTGTGTGTGGGCCAGAGTCAAACGCCAAAGACTATGGCGTCTTCAATGTAACCAAAACGTCATAGTTGATGGCGTTTTGAAATGGGTCAGATCTGAAAATATTTTCGATGTAGGGTCAAATCGTTCTAAACTTATGCAACCGGGCCAAAACAGTAAAAAATTCCGCATGTTGTGCTGTGCATGCGCGGGTGTGCATGCACGTGCATGTTGTGTTGTGGGTGCGCATGCACAGGGTGTGCATGCACGTGCATGTTGTGTTGTGGGTGCGTGCTGTGCATGCGCGTGTGTGCATGCACGTGCATGTTGTGTTATGGGTGCGTGCTTGTGTGCATGCGTTGGTGCATGTGCGTGTTTTTGTTACAGTCAAATGTTCTATCACAGTGGTTATCCTCCGTAGATTGCAGCCAATGGATCTACGGTTCGAATTCCCACCGCTGCGCGCAGGTTTTTTTATTTGTTTACTTCGGCCTCAGATAGGTGGGACCCACATACAGACTATTTGACCAGTCCACAAAGTGCCATGCGGATAGAATATGGTGAGCAGTGACCGTATAATCATCCCAATTCGTATTCAGTGACCCGTATTGAGCGTATTCTAAAATACAGTGACCGTATTGAGCGTATTTTAAAATACAGTGACCGTAGTGTGCTTTGACCTCAACTTCAGTTACCATCAATGTATTCATCTCTTATTTGTATTCCTTGGACAATGTTGGACAGTGATATTATCTATTTGTTGAGCGATTGCAAAACATTCAACCATTACTGTTGCATATGGGGTCAGAACCTCTGTCTCACCATTACAGAGTTGGACAAGTTCCATTGAATCTGATTCAACAATGATCGGCGAGCATCCAAGATTTTCAGTGGGAGCAAGGCCTTGTTCAAGCGCCCGTGCCTCCGTTGTGGGCGGACTCAGAAGATTACAGATTTTCTCCGCACATCCTGCTACTGCCTTCCCACAATCATTACGAACAACAGCTCCAGTTGCTCCGGTCCCATCATCAAAGAAAGTTGCATCTATATTCAGTTTATAAGTACCCTGAGGCGGTTTCGTCCATGACATTTCATGCGTCTTGACAGCTGAATTAGAGGCATGTTCGCTGAGAAGGCATGTATAGCAAAAGTTGTCCTCGTCGAAGATGCAACCTGTCGGATTTCGGGTTCCGCAAACCATTGAGAGGTTCGAAATCTGGGGTGCATGCAGAGATCTCAACCTACCCAGCCTGCCTACTCGCGATCCTCACAGCCTAGCGCACCGAGCTCAAAGGGACAGAGAGACACAACAGTTTTTCATGGTTCGAGCCACATTGCGATGTAATACCCTACTCCAGGTTTGTGGCGGATTACCTCGAGGGGCTGAGGATGAACTAATACA